AGAAGAGGAAGGATGTGCGTTGATACGAGAAGGGATATAACGGAAGAAGGGGAAGTGCACGTTAAGACAGGTGGTGCGTATAATAACGTCTAACGGAAAGCGCGCAGGCTGTGGGTCACAATAGTCGACGCTTGTGCGGCAACAGTCATTTGGTCGCCGGCGAGTTAGCCTACTTTGGAAAAGTTACGCGATCGAAACTCGCGCGATCATTCGTCCCGCGCGAATGCAGAATTTTATCACGTCATTCGCAAATACGTTATTCTCTCCTTCTCTCTCTCTCTCTCTCTGTACATGTTAACACTAACTAAACAAATAAAATTCACGCCTCAGTGAAATTTATTACGGTTATCAAAACAGCACTGACGTGACTGATGATATTTTCCTGGAAGTCACCCGATCTGTATTCCCCGGTCATTCATAAATACAGAGAAAGAGAGAGAGAGCGTACACAGCAATAAAATTCACGCTTCGCACTTCGGGAGATATTGTGTTTGCCCGAACTGGGTATCAGAACAAAAAGAATGTACCGCGCCGTAAAAAGGTTAATCGATCTGACGTATTCATCGCTTTTCCCCGCGTGCGACGCTCACCATTCATAAGTGCAATAAGCAGCTACGATAAAATTCAGTGTGCACTTAGGAGCGTAAACATTGTGAACAAAGCGGCGAGACAGCAAAGTCAAAATCGATCGAGAATCTTCACAGTTCTCAATATAAAAAAAAAAAAAAAATAGATTTGCTCATTCCAGACGGATGTTAGTTTTGTCAAATTTGTTTAACAAACATTTTTGCCACACAAGTCGCGAAAGTTATTTTTCTTAATGACGTTCGCAAACTTATATAGATAACTGTGTGATTTATAATAGTTTTTTTTTTATTTGAATTATATAACACGAAGAACTGCGAGGAAGAATTTTTCATGGATCTCAATTGTTCCGACCTCGTTATTCGATTTGTATCGCTCAGATTAGCGATACAAGAGCGAAGCGCGCGCATTTCTCTCTGATTTTCCATTGCGCGCAGACTTTCGTTCCTAATCTCTCAACGTCTTCTTCCGCTAAACGAAAGAGCAACGTAATCCTTCTCATCTTCCTATATTCTGCGCGAAAGAAATTTCTCCTTTTTCTCTCTCTCTCTCTCGTTATACTTTTGCGCGCAAATTATCGATCCGGCGTGTGTTCCAGAAAAATATGTGCTCTGCTCGCAGATACATTTCGCAGCTTTGTCAATTCTCGCTTTATCGATTCTAGATCATAAGAAAACTTAGAATCATGTATTTTGCACATATAATTCTGCTACATTATATATTCCAAAATTCCTTTTTTTTCAACTGCAAAATTTTGGCAAGACACAACGAGTCGATACGAAATTACGCACAACAGTACGGCGCACGTGTTTCGAGTGTCGTGTACAATTGCCGGATTATTCTTATCTCGCGTGCAGTCTCTCAAAATTTTGTCTGACAAGAGCGTTTTTCAATGTTTGACGAGAACGAGAACCGCGCGAATAATCTCCGAGCGTTTCTGCACATCGTTCGTTAAAAATTCGCGCGCCGGTGCGCAACTAAACAGCAAATTTATTTCTAACTTACTTCGAGGAAGAGAAGATTTTTTTGATCTTCAATTAAATCAATTAAACAGTGAGTAAAGCCAGAAAGAGCCGGGCCGGGAGTCAGTAGTATAATCATAGTCCAAAGTTTTTTGCCGTTTATACGATTGTTTATTAAAAAAAAAAAAAAAACGTTTTGACCATTGTTGTCGTCCTTTTGTGTTGTCCTTTTCAATTTTCATGACACAACACAAATGAATATTAAAATGTATAAATTTTTGTGTCAAACATACGGAGAAATAAACAGAAATAAGTTACGTTAGTATTTTGAATGCGAGATCATCTGTCGTTTGTTTCTCAACAAACGGTTAATTGCAAAACACTTTGGACTTAAAAACAAAAACACTTCCCGGTCCTACTTAGCATCTAGCAAATTTTATCGTTACGTCGAGATAAGCAAATATAATACAGGCCCGACGTGACGACGAGTCTCGGAATTGATTTCTTTTTTTTTTTTTCCGGTGTCGAGCCGACGAGGCACGGCAGTGCTGCGCCGCATTGTTTCCATCTCGTAGTGCATTACGTAAATGAAGGTAGTACCTCCGTGTATTGTATCTGATTCACGCGTGTCACGGCGACGAAGTGTGTCGTCCCTCGGGCTCCTAATCACCGCCCGTAAAGTGCTCTCTCTCGCTCTCGCTCTCGCTCCCGCTCTCTCTTTCTCTCTTTCCTGGCGCAAAGCGCCGCTTACAGTTTGAGAGAAGATAAATTAATGATGTACGAGATTTTTTTTTTCTTCAAGAGGTGAATCTCTTCCAAGTTATAATTTCGTTCGATAAAAAGTCGGAACAGAAACTTCGGACCGTATTACAACCGAGTCGAGACAAAGTTTTTTGTAACTTTCGTTCATCTCTCTCTTTCTCGCTGCAATATTCGCCATTATATTGTTCGCGGATTATCGTATAGAAATGTAAAAAAGATAATTTTTCAAGCGAATAGCAAGTAACGAGCGCGCCTAAAGTCGCGCGTTCAATTGTGGGAAATTTCTGTGTTCCATAAAACGATCGTCCCAGATACGAAAAATTCAAAGCAGACGATTTGCGCGCTTGTTTGTCCCGGTCGGAGAGGAGAGAATTTTTAGGTCATGTAGAAAAATTCGATGCGTCCACATGTTTCCACGCGAACGAGATGCGCGTTAAAATTCGTTTTTCTCTCCTTACGGAAAGTGATTGTCGATATGGATCACAATAATAAATTATTTTTGAGTATTGTAAAACAAAAATCGTTCTGTCGAACACAGTGCTTTTTTTTTTTTTTTTTACTATTCGTAAATAAATTATTTTGGTCACACCGGTAATAAATTTCTACAAGAATCGCCATTCGTCCTGTCCTCACATTTCTTGTGTTTACTCGCGCTTAATTATAGGATACACATTTGCCACGGCGACATTAAACAGAAAAAAAACAGTCCGTGTATGCACTTTGATCACAAGTGGGCTCTCTTGAGAATTTCGATCTCAGCGTTTCTCTCTTCGAGCGGTAAGAACATCTCGGCGACGCGAAAATCGAGAGGATGTGTCGTATCTATTACGAAAGAGTCTCTCTCTCTCTCTCTCTCTCTTTCTCTAGACACTTGTTTTTCAAAATGAACAACCTTCAGCGAGCACAATAAATACGCAATCTTCACTAAACTTATAATCGCTAAGCAAGATCAGCATGCACGTATTAATTTTCGACTGAAAGAGGGGAAAAGGATGGAATCGTGACTCGTCCAACCCAATTGACTAATATTTCGCGGCCTCGCGAGATATTATCATCGTCATCGTCATCGTCATGTTCAATTACAGGTAGTCGCACATAAGCCGCGTGTCCGACCACCTGCTGTTCTTCGAACAGTTGCGGTCTATTCGTATAAATTTCACACTTCCTCGTCTCACTTTGCGTATTTAGATTTGTGTGTTACATATGTTACATATATAAATCCAACATTTTCTCCTTCTCGATTTTTCTCTTACAACAATAACAATATTACACAAATTCGTTTAATTCTAATTTTGAACTGAAAAACAATTAAGAAATTTTAAATTCAAAACGTCGCTTTCTAATTAGTCAATTAATCGATAATTAACGTGTTTTCTATAAGCAGATGCGTTGAATGTTTTGAAAACTTTCTCCATTAAAACAAAAAGTTATAGTCCAGATCATTTTTACTAACAATTATCGTTGAATTATTCAAAATTTCTATACAAATATCAATTGTGCGAGATGATTAATACACTGCTGTCGGCAAAAAGTATTTGTCATTTCCGTGAGTGCCACGAGATGACGAGTCCTTATACCTTACGTGATTAAATAATACCTCACTCACACACACGTAAACACATGTTAAAAATGACCTTCAAAAACACTTCAGAATTATTCGTGAGCATTTACATATCAGAACAACAAAAAACAATTTATACGATTTTTTTCTTTTCTTTTTAAAGTGAATTTTGCTTTCTCCGATACGGAATTCATTGTTATAAATCTTGTGCGCAAGTTTATTACATTTTAATTACATTATCTCTTATCTCTACAGAGATACAGCGGCTTTACGCACCAAGTTGCAGCGATACTGCACAAAACAGTTCTTGCGGCAACTTCGGGTGTTAAGACATTTGCGCCTCTGCCTGCTACACGTCGTAATTATATCTTATCGTTCAAATGTTTCGAAACAACGTTGCAGAGTAAAACTCTAATACAATTATAATTTTCTTCAAAATTATCTTTGCAATACGGACGTTTCCGGAACAAGTGTGTGTGTATGTGTACGTGTGTGTACGCGCGCTGCGACGATTGCGAAGCGAGGGGGACGCTAGGAATCCGAAACTCGCGGAATCCTTCCGCAAGAGTCAACGAACAGCCTCTTCTCCACCTCCCGTTCTCCGTCTCTCGTAATCGTGCGTTTCACCTTGCTGCTCCGCGACGGCGGCCACGCGATCGAACAGTTTTTTCGCGAGCACTGCGCGAAACAGGTATTCGACGTCGTGTGTGTTGAAGAAGGACGGACGGATTATTGGCGCGACACGACGACGTGAAGTTGCAGCCAAGTGACTGGCGATAATCGCGACGCTTCGTTAGAAGAAACGGAATATCGTAAAAAAATTCGAGTCGGCGGAGAAGAGAAAGCGGTCGGAAAGCGCGCAAGTTGCGAAATTTTACTCGGAAAGATGAGACAAAAATCGGTAAAAAAAAAAAAAAACGAAGGCAAAGACGACGAAACGGAAGGTCGAGCGCGAAGGACGCCGACGTTTGCGGAGTTTCAAACGTCGTTCGCTTCTGCGTAAGCGCGCAGCGGCGGCGCCATCGCGAAAACGATCGTGTAGCGGCGAGGCGCCTATTCAAAATGTACTCGGTCGCCTCTTAATTTTCCGTTTACGAGAACACAGACGCGTACTTTCGATGCGTACTCACCGGTATGCAAATAAAGGTCTCACATCGTCGGGGACCGGGGATAATCCACGTGATGAATGCGACGAGCACAAGAAAAAAAAACCCGATATCGAGCGACACTCACTCGCGTTTGACGCACACGCGACGACTCGCGCGTTCTCGTGTGTGAAACTTGGCGCGCGATTCTTTGTGCGCGACGCGCGAAGAAGAATAGAAAAGCCGGAGGAACGTCCGACGAGCAGAAAACGCGGAGAACGCGCACGACGGGCGCAATACCAACGTTCACTTGCGTTCGCTTCGCGTTGCCGGTCGCGACTCCGTTCTGTCACGAACTCCGACCCGCTCAGTACGATTCGGCCGGACTCGGCTTCGGCGTCGACGTTCGGGCATCTTCGTAAAACCTTCTCGCCGCGTTCGGCAGTTTGCATTTTCGAATCTCTCGCCGCTAGTGTTCGCCGCCGCTCGGCTGCAATCGGCTTGTTCAAAGCACATCGGGCATACGCGCGGTTTTTTCTCGACCGTGTTCCAAAAAATTCATCACACACACACTGCTACAATATTATAAAAATCTATAATTCACGTCAAATTTATAATTCAAGGTATTACATACAATATTCAATACTGAATTTTAGAGAACGCAGCTTTATTGTCGAAAATACTTTTGACTGATGTTTTTCTATTTCATGTTACGCGCGATTTACCGCTACAAAATAAATTATTAAATCACTAGTATCGAGCAAATAAAACTTACAATAAGTTAGAAAAGACTTATAATAATTGAAAACAAAAACTTTTTCTCATAAATTTTCATTCTGAAAATAACTGAAAGAGGACACGAACTGTGCGTAGCAAATATGTTGAGGAAATGTCAACAAAATGTACATTTCTGACAACTTTTATATATATATATGTATATACAAAATGTAAATTTTTATTATTATATTTTAAGAAATTTTTTTTTCAATTATGTCACATAGTTTTGTTTTTACTGTCCCCGTTTTCTGTATGCGCGTCTTTCCTCAATTCATAGATCTGCAAACAGAAAGCAGCAGTTTATTTTTCATGCATACGAAAATCCAAAAAAAAAAAAAAAAAACAAATAGTCTTTTTATTTACCTGTATGTACGCTTCAGTGAGGGTTATCATTTGAGGCAATATTTGAGTTACATGCAAATCTTGCAATTCGTACCACTGACCGGTAGCTCTGTGCAAAATATGAACTCTGTATGTTCCTTGACCAGGTTCGCCATCGTGCACTATATTGGCCACCAGATCGTACGTTGTATACGGATGTTTGGCCTTTACTTCGGGTGTCAAAATATCTCCAAAGTCAACATTCCTACAACCGCAACAAAAACGTTGCAACTAGAGCATTGTTAAAAATTAGGTAGTTGATATGAGACGCGCGAACGAAATAAAATTGAAACATTACTCACTTAACGGGGAAATTCACAATTGTTGGATTCTTCTCGACGAAAAATGTATTCTTCGTAAATCTCTGTAGAAAAAAGCAACGTGTAAGAAATAAATGGGAGAGATATTTTTACGTTGTTTAAGAGATACACGTGTTTTTACTTACTTTTATATAAAGTATGAGATAAGGCGGCAGTTCAGTAATTTCGAATCTCTTCATGAAATTCTCTTTATAGGTCTTGTACTCTTTCTCGGTGATAGCATTGAATTTGTTCAACAACGTGTACAGATTCACCTGTGTGTATAAAAACAATTGTGTAAATTTTACTGGAATAACAAAATCTCTAAATTTTTATTTATGTGATTACACAATATGTCAACCTGCGGAATTATATTCTCGGTGAATTGATCTTTAAACAATGGTGGCGGAGGGAGATCGCAAGTGAGATACAAAAATGGACTTTCCGTTACGGTCTCGCCATACTCGACTGTGTGCAGTAATTCGCTTCTTTGACTCTCTTCTAATTCCAGTGGAGGTATCTTTCGCGTATATATTCGCAAATGTCCCAAAAATGTCTTATAAATTATACTGGAATCACGTTTCTTTGTGCCATTTAATGCCAAATGAAGAGCGTTTAAGAACCATGATAAAAAGTCCACCGGATCGCCTAAAAATATACCGTACTTTTGTTCATGTTTTTTTTTAAAACTATCAAAATTATATTGAAACAAAATCTGTTGAGAAACGTACCTTGCTCGGTAAACTGAAATCTTTTTTTACTCCACAAAACTACCGCCTGAAGCATCTCGTGTGGACTTACATGTGCTTTGAAATTACGTGGATTCCATAATTTGCGCATAAGTTCTCCAAATCTTTGTACCAAGAGATAAGAAGAATCACCGGGCAGTCTCTTTACGTGGGAATAGTTAGACTCTCTTAAAAAGAAATCTCTCAAAGGTGTTACGTGCGAAAGTGCCTGTGAAAAAAAAAAACATTTAAACTTATAGCGCATAAAAAAACTTGACACCTCAAAAACCTCACTAGTTACAAAGAATTACTTGTAAAATGACGTTGCAGTAATCGTTTGCTTTTATATTATTCATTCCAACTATCCCTGGTGAATACATGGAGCCATCAATTGCTCTGGATTGTTTATCACTCTTATCTAACTGAGCTATTTGTGCCTTGTCAAAAGTTGGATTTAACACATATTTAATGTCGTCCAGTGACGAATCTAACAAACATAAAATTTCAACTGTTAAAAGAGAAAAGATCCACATCTAAATGAGAAATTTGACTAATTTGTTTACTTACCAACAATTTCATAATTGTCTGGTAAACAATAAAATTTCAGTGTGTGTAAGTTGAGAAAAACATGATGACTCTCAGCTACGCTGTGCGTGTACGCATGAGTGTTGGTTCCCCTGCCTTGAAAGTATTTTCCACATACCAAGCAGGCGTACACATTTATCCTGGACAGTGACACAGAACACAACTTCTCAAAATCAAAATCTAAGAATTGCCGATTAATTGTATCCAAGTACGGACACAGTCGAGGTGCTTCTCTGTTTGTCTTTGCATGTTTTACGCTCTCTGCAACAGAAACGGAATTAAAAACTTTAGAATAATGTAAAATCTACAGACAAAGTGCAGTTTTAGGTTATTTCTCTAAACATATGCAAAGAATTCGCAATACAGTGCAAAATTATATGAAAAGCTGTGGAATCTTTATCATTCGTGATTACATATCGCTGTCTTGTATAAATATTAAGTGGATTATTGTCAGAAAATCTTGAAGACAAGAAAAACAACTGACGCACCGAATGTCACCTAACCTCGAACTGCTTGTAAACGGGAGTTTCTTGAGTCTTATTAAAGCCGTAAAGTTCATCTAAAAACGTATTGTGATTTAAATTGTCGACAGCTTTGTGATATACGAAGATACATGTACTCACTTTGTGTTTCATTATCTGAATCGTTCTCGACGTCGTCCAGTTTTCGTTTTTCCTGCATAGTTCGCGTAGCAGACGCCATTTTATGATTACAAACAGCACGGCAGCATCCCATCACTCACAAATCATCAGCGCTTTGGCCTAAAGCCCCTTGCACAATGGAAGGAATAGCGATAGCGATAGAAATAACACAGTTTTTAACACAGAATTCCAACTCGTCGGAAATTTTATCGCTATTGCTTATTCCGATTTGCTGATCTGCATTGATACACGTGTAGTTTTGTATGTTAGATTCCGCTGTTCCTACCTTTATTTTTAAATATAAACTCTTTAAAGCCTCTTGCACAATGGACGGAATAGCGATAGCGATAGAAATAACAAAAGTTTTAAAGAGTTTATATTTAAAAATAAAGGTAGGAACAGCGGAATCTAACATACAAAACTACACATGTATCAATGCAGATCAGAAAATCGGAATAAGCAATAGCGATAAAATTTCCGACGAGTTGGAATTCTGTGTTAAAAACTGTGTTATTTCTATCGCTATCGCTATTCGTTCCATTGTGCAAGGGGCTTAAGCTGCGTTCCGTTTCACGCATAAGCGCGCATTTGTCTATACTATACGTGACGTGTACTATAGATAAATATAGTCATAAAAAACCGAATATCAATGATTAGCAACTACACTGAAATTTGAGGTTGGAAATTCGAAATCTGAGAGCTGAAATTTGGGGCTTAATTTAAATTAGAGCCACCGCACAAGAATGAAAAAATAAAATTTGATCACACAGATCTTGGCCCAAATTCTTGAAAAAAAAAAAAAAAAACTATACTTACTAGAAAGCAATCTCTTTAATAATTACATTTTCATAATTCTGATTGATCCTTTAGCGGCTTCATTCACATAGCTCGATCTGCTGTCAAATATGTAGTTTTTATAATTTAAAGATATACGACTTATCCGGTAAGTCAATAGCACACGCGCAATTCTTGTCGTGTCTGGTATACAAGTGTGCGTATGTATGAGGAATCATTTTTCTAATTAAAAAAAAAAAAAAAAACAATGTGGGCTGGAGAGTTGAAGAAAGAGGTTGCGCCTTTGATGTTTCATACCTATCCACTGTGTAAAGTAAATTGACAAAAAATTATTAATAAACGTGACGTTTCGTCTAATTAGAGAAAAAAAGAGAAAAAGAAAGAATGAAAGAAAATATTTCTCAAAAGTTAGAGAGAATAAAATTTAAAATTCAATTTTCTCTAGTACAGCGATTTGCCAGAAGAAATGAAGCAAGAGGCAATAGAAATCTGCGTTACTGCTGTCGAAAAATATTCGGAGAATTACGAGCAAGCGGCTCGTATGATTAAGGATAATCTGGACAAAAAATTCGGCCCACCCTTTCAAGTGGTTGTCGGCGAGGCGTACGCGTGTGCAATTACGCATCAAGAAAAGTCGCTATTGTTTATGTTTATCGGAGGTAACACAGCAGTTGTTGTATGGAGAACGGTTGCAGGTTTTTGACCGCGCTCTTTAGACAACAAAACAATTGTATAAAGTTTACACAACTTCTACTATGTGATATATGACTTTTTTTTCAAATAAAAACACGTTATTTCTTACAAAACATGTGTATGTTGGACTACAGGGCCGGTTGGATGTACTATGTCCGATCATTCTTTTGTGGCAAATTGAACAGATTTTGTCATATAATATCTATTGACATTATAATAAAACTGTTACTTATTTTTTTAAATAAATGGTAATGTTTCAAATCTTCTCTTGTAGCAGAGAGAAGACTGAGAACGTCAAGGGTCATATGAAAAGCTGTAATAGCTTTTCCCAGAGAGAAATCTGAGAGCGGCCATCCTATTGTGTAGTTTCTTATGACGGTTTCAGTCGCTGGTTTTAGCGGCCATAAGACCGAAGCACAAGGGCCTTAGCACAAGGGTCTAAGACCCGGTTTTACAATTCGCGGTTAACTCGAATTAACCGAAGTTCGACTTGCTGAGCTCGGTTTAACGCGTTCAATCTTCTTTGTCAAATCTTCGCTAACCAATCACAGTTCATGTTTAGGAAGAAAAGATGCGTTACGCCGAGTTCAGCAAGTTGGGCTTCCGTTAATTCGAGTTAACCGTCAATTGTGAAACCGGACTTTAGTAATAAATCAGAAGTCAGAAGCAAGAAATTGACCAATCACAGTCAAATCGCAGAAGAATAATCGATTGTGATTAGTCAATTTCTTGCTTCTGACTTCTAATTTATTACTAATATCTTATTGTAGAAGGCCCTACAGACTTTTGCTTAATGCATAATGCATAAGACATAAGAGAATCAACCAATCAAAGCTTTCTAGAACAAGAAGTGGGGATGAAAACAAAAAGCTGGATTGGTTGATTCTCTTATGCGTTATGCAAAAGTCTGTGCTTTGACCTTAGGCCTGTTCTACAATACAGTCGTAAGCCGTAAGAAATTGACCAATCACAATCGATTATTCTTCTGTGATTAATCTGTGATTGGTCAATTTCTTACGACGTAAGACAGCTTACGATTACAGCTTAAGAGCCGTCTACAATGGAGAGTTGTAGGCCGTAATAGTAAGAAACTGACAAATCACAATTGATTTTTCTTCTGTACTTTGTCTGTGATTGGTCAATTTCTTACTATTACGGCCTACAACTCTCCATTGTAGACGGCTCTTTAGGCCTGTTCTACAATACAGTCGTAAGCTGTAAGTCGTAAGAAATTGACCAATCACAGATAAATCACAGAAGAATAATCGATTGTGATTGGTCAATTCCTTACGGCTTACGGCTTACGACTGTATTGTAGAACAGGCCTTACAGCTTACGACTGTATTGTAGAACAGGCCTTAAAGTATACTCGGGTGAGGAATCGGAACATAGCCTAACGTGGGTACGTTCCAAAATCTTACCTTAGTAACTGAAAACTATAGTACACGTGACGTAAAATATAGTATTTTAGTAACCAAGGTAGGATTTTGGAACGTAACCCGTGAATACATGCAGAATTGGCGGGATCCGCGCACAGTAAGTAAAAACCGATATCCTTGTGTAGCCGAGCAGCAGCCAAACACACACGGTATTTTCATACTTTTCCGAATCCGATTCTCGAATCTTGCACAAAGCACAACAATAGTAGAGTCGCGTGTACTCACAAGTAAAGTTCCACATTTCACTTTGTGATAATCGGCGAAGGTTGTCAATCGATTGATAAGATAATATTGCTATATTGTTAACGTCAATTTTTCTAAGGCCGATCATTGATATTGTTTAAAGATAAAAGGAAGTTTCGATATTTCAAAATACTGTTTAAGTCCACATTGAATTCTCTTCGATTAATCATGCGTCGATCAAAGAGAACGAGGGCGAATAACGAAGATGCGACGAGTAGTGCAAAAAAATTTAAACAATCGAATCTCTTAAATTTTGTGAGTGCCAAACAAAACAAGGAGGAAAACGGTATTACGAGCGAGGTCGTATCCACGGGGTCCGAATATATTTCGAACAAATTGTTAGCGATCGAACAAAATCTTTGCGCCAAACTGAAAAATATCACTTTCTCACCGCCGGTCCAATATATCTACAATCCGCTTGAGTACGCGGCCAAGACGCATGCCATGTACGTACGCAAATACTGCACCGGTCCGAAAAAGATTATGTTTGTCGGCATGAATCCCGGACCGTGGGGCATGTCGCAAACTGGCGTGCCGTTCGGAGAAATAAATATGGTGAGAGATTGGCTCAAAATTTCCGGTCCGGTTGGACATCCGCCGAAAGAACATCCCGAACGAGTAGTGATGGGATTCGAATGCCCACGTAGCGAAGTTAGCGGACAGAGATTGTGGAGTCTCTTAAAAGAACTTTGTGGAACTCCGGAAAACTTTTTCAAACACGCTTACATGCACAACTATTGTCCTCTTGGATTCATGGACTCTACCGCTCGAAATGTTACACCAGCTGAATTGAAGGCAATATTTTTATTCCATTTAGATTTTTCTGTTCTTATGCTGAATCATTTGTACTTTTCAGGGTGAAGAACAAAGACTTTTGCACGAGGCGTGCGACAAGTCCTTGGTGGACATAGCAAAGCTCTTGAATGTGGAAATCATTGTTGGTATTGGACAATATGCTGAAAAGAGAGCACAGATTGCAAAACAGATAGGAGGTCTTAAAATACAGGTTGATATATACTTATTTATATAATACATTATTGTAACGCCTTTCCAATGCACTTTAGTATCTTTTATCTTGTGCAATGATGTTTTTCTTTCAGGTAATGGTCTTGAGACATCCAAGTCCAAGAGTCTCAGGTAATCATAATTGGAAAGAAATAGCTTTGGAGCGACTAAAGCAGTTAGGATTGCTTAAATACTTGAAACAGGACAATTAAATTGCTGTCTAAAATTCTTTGCTATATGCAATGACATTATTCATCATTTTTGAAGTATGAATTTTGACTTTTTTTTTTTTGTTTAATTAATATGACGACACATATGGTATGACATAATAAGATAACATATATAAGAATTTTTTACGAAAGAATTATAAATTAAAAAAAGAGCTTTGTTAATCTGATTTAAAGTACAGTTAAGAATTGTCTTTGGATCTCACATATTCAATATATACAACAATTATACGATAATATTTATTATGGACACTTTAGCATGGATGGATGTTGCGTTGCAAAGGGCTAAGGAGTCTTTCAAAGCTGGCGAAGTGCCAGTTGGTTGTTTGTTTGTGTACGATAATGAAGTAATTGCGACGGGAAATAACACAGTAAACGAAACTTGCAACGCAACTCGCCACGCGGAAATAAATTGTATTGACCAAGTCTTACAGTATTGTAAACAGAATTGTACGGACTATAAAACGGTATTTCGTAATCTAGACGTAATTGTCACGGTAGAACCGTGCGTAATGTGTATGTCGGCACTGCTTCAACTACAAGTACGCAGTATTGTATATGGCTGTGTCAATGATCGATTCGGTGGTTGCGTCAGCGTTCTCGAAGTATCAACGTTTTACGATCAAAAGACAAGTGTGCAGGGAAACGTTAAAGGTGAAGAGGCTATGCAGTTGCTTAAAGATTTTTACAAAGGTGTCAATCCAAACGCTCCTGAGTCCAAAGTAAAAAAAAAACGTAAAACGAAAGAAACCTCGCTAACGGAAAACAAATAATTTTTCTTTTAGTTTTTCTTGGATTTGTGAGATACTGGTTTTTTTTTTTTTTTTTTTTTATCTATTTCGTTGAATAACATAACACTTGGATTTTGTTTTTACTCAAATTTATATAACACACCGCCACATGTAATCGTAATATTTTTACTTTCTTACAAAACATGTAACTATATAGTTTATATACACTGTTTCATACATACTTGGAATAAATATTCAATAGCGCATCAAGGACGCGATTGTACTTTTTTTTTCTGGCTTTATCGTGTTGATAACGTTATCTGCACCATGTTTTATCCAATTCGCACTTACCCTGGTACCACCTGACGAGTAATTGATTTCTCAGTGTGTAATCTTTCAGCACCATATCCTTCGTCTGCAAAATGCATTCGATAAACAAAGTTAAATAAAAGTTAAAAAAAAATTTAACTTTCGCGCGCGACTTACTATCGGAGGTGGGAATATTCTTTGAAAATCCATTTGGTTTTGATGCTCAAGATAGCTCCGCGACAAAATGAGCTCTGTTTCTGGCGTGAAGCACGGTCTGCACAATTGGCACTCCACGCGAAAACAGTCTGCGCATTCCTTGCAAAGCTCCGGTAATACCACGATATTCTTATTCGCTACTTGCATTTCCTTCTCCGCTTTATTTCTATAACGTATGTCAAAAACATTTTTATACTTTTATCTCTTGATATATTTTCAGGATGTTTATCTGTGATGTCTTTAAATGTTTACCTAGTTCTCAAGGATTCTGTTTTGATTCTTTTACCAATACCGACTAGCGCGAACGTATTGAATATGACCTGCTCGTAAAGCAACTGATTTGGCGGATAATGCGCAGAAGACAAGTTCGGTGACATGTTCGCCTCCATCATGTAGACGTTCAGATCCTCGTCAAGAGCTAAGTCAAATCTCACAAGTTCAAAGAAGTTTCTGCCATTGCCGAAGCGTTTGGAAACCTCTCTGATCTGTGCTTCCTTCATCAACGCAACCTCCCGGATGGCGTCGTACACTCGATCCCACATCTCCGACGGATTCTTTCCTTGCTCTCTGACGTAAGCGTCAAACGAGTCCTTCATCGAATAACCGAGCTCGGTATAGTATCTTTTCAAGGATGGCACGTTCCAGATTGGCAGATAATCGTCGCCGACCACATACTTGTCCAGTATCTCCGGATCAAACGGATAGTATTTGATCGGACAAAAACGGAAGAGCACATCAGCCTTGTACACGTAAACTCTCAACGGATCCACGGACGTGATGACGGTGTACACACCGATGTCAAACTTGTAACCGTCCACGAGAAACGGCTGTTCGATGAATTCCTGAATAAACGTGCCAGCAGTAAAATTTACGTTGCTATTGTCGCAAATGCGAATGCCTCGATGATCGTTGGACTTTTGTACGAATTGCTTTGACGGATTTGATTTGATATAATCGAGAAAAGCCTGGCGGTCGTCGGGCATTTTGAAGGCCGCCGGTATATACCGGCCATGTGATGTGGAGAGATCCACCTTGTTCGTGATATAGCCGCAACCGGGAAAATGATTGACAAGCTGGTGCTCCTGGAGTCTATTTAAACTCGCGAACAAAACGCGAAATGGATAATCGTGAGCCCACAACAAGTCCCAGTTGGACTCGTTGTTGCTCTTCTGAAAACCGAGTCGTTGAAGCACCGCGTACACGTGTTTCAAGTAACCGGTATCGTTGTTCTTTGCGTAAACCCAGAACTTCGGTCGATCTTCCTTTATCGGTTCTTCAGATAGATGTTTCAAATATGTTTGATGATTCAAGTACAGGAAAAACATGCCGTAGAGAATCAACGGACCAATTACAGAAGACAGAACAATCTTCAGAAGAGTCTTCATTTTTAGATCCATAATTTTTCTTCTTACAGTATATCGTATTTTCTGTAACAATTAGTACTTGCTTGATCTCATTTAAAGACAGTCAAATGTCATCACACATGTGATAAAACTTTTTATATTATTATTTATATTATACGTGTACCTTTTGCGGTCAGTACCTTTTCATTCCGATCTTTCTCATGTTTCTTTTCATCTGACATAGTAAATTTAACTTAAAAGCGACTAGAAGCGACTGGAGCGTTCGTTCTGTAACGACTTTGACGCAATGAATAAACGTCGTGTGAAAGTACCGTTGGATCTTATTCACGAAGCGTCTCCCACATGGAACGCTCATTGCGTAACCGGTTTCTCCAGACTTTTGATTTAAATCTATCGACAATATACATTAGTACAAATATGCAATTATATTATAAATACGATTAAAACGCGATTATTAATTTTTCACGATTCTTATATAAATTCAAAGTTTACCACGTGGTATATAAATTAAATTAAATTAATTAAGTTAGAAAAGCGGAACACTACAACTAAAATCTTTCTTACACTATTAAAATATTTTTACCCGATAATTGTGTATCTTTCGTGGCCGTGAAAGGTGCGCGGCTTTACGATTTAAAATACAATAGAAGACATACCTATTTCGCAATTTCTGTGCGTTTCGAAATGTGTTTCTCAAACACCCAATCCGGAAGTGTAGCGTACTACGTAAATCGAAATCCATATGCGTAAAACGTGAACTGCGCTCAAAGTAGCGCTACGAACGCTTCCAAGCGTCGATCTATCTTTATTTCTCATTGAACGTAGAACGAAGATGGAACGATGCCTTCGAATTATTTAAGTTGCGCTCTGCAATTTTATACCGCCATGATCTATATACATTTGCAGATGTAACGGTGCACGGGAAACTGAGAATGGTGGAAACTCGCGGTTGTTAAGATTAATGTAGAAGATATTGGTGCGTTTTTCTCGCGCTCGAAAATCTCTCGCGTGACGTATGGAGAGATCGATGTCGGAACAAATGGCTTCGCAAACGCAGACAGAAACGATCTCCGAAGCGGATGTCGCCGACTCCGGGTCACAGGTACGCATTACTTGTTATCTCGTATGTTCGATTAAGAACGCGTCTTGTCGCTCAAAATTTATTGCGCTTATCTCTGACACAGTAGTTTTGCAATCGGTTTAACAATCGGTGAAAAAAAAATGCATTTTCATCGCTTGTTTTGAGAATCTACGATGAATCGCGTATTTGGGATTTTCTCGCGAAATTGCGCAGCAAAAAGTAAACATTTTTTCGTGAGCAAATGCAATACGAAGAAATGCGAGTTGTTTTGCACAACTGCCGAAAGTTCACCTTTGAACGGGATACGAGTTCTGGATCTGACGCGGATTGTAGCTGGTCCTTATTGCACGATGGTTCTGGGAGATCTCGGCGCGGAGATTTTGAAGATCGAACGACCGGGTAGCGGTGACGAGGCGCGCAACTGGGGTCCGCCTTTTTTCGAGGGAACGAAGGAATCGACTTACTTCACGAGTGTGAACAGAAATAAAAAGAGTGTTTGTGTCGATTTGAAGAAGGGACGAGATGTCATCTACGACTTGGCAAAGACATGCGACGTTTTAGTGGAGAATTATGTGCCGGGAAAGTTGAACGGTATAGGCTTGGGTTATCAAGACCTAGCTAAGATAGCGCCGCGTCTCATATATTGCTCTCTTACCGGTTACGGATCTCAGGGACCATACGCGAGCAGACCCGGTTACGATGTTATTGCCGCTTCATTGGGTGGACTTCTGCATATCACAGGTCCGAAAGACGGACCACCGTGCAAAGTTGGCGTAGCAATGACTGATCTGGCAACGGGTCTGTACGCTCATGGCGCAATTATGGCAGCTCTGCTGCAGAGAACAACGACCAACAGAGGCCAGTGGATACAATGCAACCTTCTGTCCACACAAGTCGCATGTTTGATCAATATTGCTTCAAATTATTTGAATGGAAATAAGGAAGGAACGAGATGGGGATCTGAACACGAGAGCATAGTTCCATATGAGGCTTTTCCAACAGAAGATGGATACATGACAGTTGGAGCAGGTAGTGATACACAGTTTGTAGAGTTAATGAAGAGACTGCAACTTTCCGAACTAGCTAGTAATGACAAGTTTAAGAACAATACAGCTAGAGTTAAAAATAGAACGGAACTACTTCAGATTCTTAGAAACGTATTTGCAAAGAAGACTAATCAGGAATGGTCTGTAATATTTGATGGTGCTTCGTTTCCTTATGGAGCAGTAAATACAATAAAAGAGGTAAGTTAATGTAATTGAGAAAATCATGTATTATTTTTACAACACACGTTTCATGAACTGATAATTGACAACACACAATCTTCAGGTATTTGATGATCCTCAAGTAAAATACATGAAGTTGGTTCAAGAGATAGATCATCCGGTTACGGGCAAAGTAAAACTTGTTGGACCAGCTGTGACATATAGCTATGCCACTAATGTAGTGAGATCACCACCACCGACATTAGGCCAACATACATTAGAAGTTTTAAAAAATATATTAAGATATTCTGATGATAAAATAGAAAACTTATTACAACAGAAAATTGTGCAATAATAAATCATTTATACTATTTCTTGCCAAACAATATTTTTCTATAAACAATAATGTAATACTATTTTATATTGTGACATATATGTATATATTCCAAGATATATAATATTGACTTTTTATGCTATACTATTTTAATTATAATAAATGACTAATATTTTGTATATTATATATATTTGTGCAATAAATAAAACCTTGTTTAATATTTTTAACAACATGATTTTGTCTTTTATAACAAAGTTTTTAGCGTGTACGCACATGTATGACATGCATTTTTGTAATATCACTTGTGTGTGTGTATGTGTATGTGTGTGTGTGAATCATATAATAAATGAATTGTCTTATCTACTTTATTAATAGTTTTATAATTGTGTTTTATAGGATGTACCTAAAGTCCGATTACGTTTACGAAAACCGAAATCAAACAAGAAGGTTCAATGGACTCAGGGGACTGTCGATAATGAAAATTTAAACAAGAAGAAATCTAAATGTAAATATTTAAACATTTTCATATGCTACAGACTGGTGGGGAAAAAAAATTTGAAGCTACACGAAGTTTTGATTCATAGGTTGTTGTATTTATGAAAAACCAAAAACTTTTGGTGAAAGTAGTAGTTCAGAAGATAGTGACGACGAATGCGAACATTGTCATGGACATAAGGATGCTCATAAGAAAGTATTACCTAAACCTGGAGATCCCGCTCCGGACGGAATGTCATCACATCCTGGTAACTTTTTTTTACATTAGATACGCATGTGTGTGTGTTATGTTAATTACAATTTATTTTTATCTGAAAGCAAATTTCTTATAGAGCCGATTGCAACAGGTTCAACTTAGATAATTTACATTAACAAACTCTTCTCTAAATGGAAAATACATTTCTTTATGCTAATTCTTAAATCAGTGTCATATCGAGAAAGTATGGTGGATTGTAGGTAAGCAATTGCACAATATATGATTCGTTGAAAGAGCAAAAAATTATATACGATACATAAATTGAAGTACTTCTATTTTTAGGTATGCAAACTTTAAATATAATTTTTTATTATATTACATTTATAGCGAATACGTGGAATTTGTATTACACCGCTTTAACAGTATCACATGGAAGATTGTAAAATGTTGTTAAGCGTCTGTTAATAATTGTTAATTATTATACACAGGTCACGATGTTGAGAGAATAGTAAAGTCATCATTCTTCGAAAAATAACAGTCATTCCCTTTATATTTATAAGTTTCGTATATATATATATATACATATATATATATATATATATTTGCTGTTTTATAGATATTTTTATAGACTTCATATTAGAAACGTGTGTATATATACACACATCCATATGTATGTATACACACATACACATACATTGTCAATTTGTGATTGTTATCGACAAATTTAGTTTAATTACAACATCGAGGGTTTTCTTTTAGTTTCTTCACATGTTCTATAATCGTCAAATCAAATCTCGGAAATCTCTTTCTAATACACGGGAAAATTGCAGGTGAATGTTAATTTGTCTGAAAAAGAGTCATTATATTGAGTTCATAATTTCATAACGCAATTGGGCGCAGTATATAATTTTGAGAACTACTAATGTTTCTTTTTCATACTTTATGTGCAAAATAAATACGTAAAACCAAGTATTTAAAAAAAAAACCAATTTGATGTTTATTGCACACATCACATTGAGAGTTTCAACTTCACAAGTTTTGTTCGAAAAATAAATTTGAAAACCTGTTTCTAAGTTTTAGCCTTCTACACAGATAAGCTGGATAAATAAACTTTGAGATAAGAGTTAAATAATCTTTAAATAAGTGTCTGTTCTTGTTAACTATTTTTATCTAATTTAGAATAACAATGGACACGATAACAGTAAATTTTTTGTGATATCCTTTGCAATAACAATCTTTTAACACTTCTTTTAGTGTTCATATATGTATATCTAGTGAGATATATATATATGTTGGTTGTACGCGCAGAAGAGAGATAGGGAAAAACATTGGGGAGAAGAAAAAGTAAAACAGCTAGATCAAAATAGAGTCAGATGGGAAAATATTTGTTCTATGTTCCTTCTAAGAATTTTGGAAATAAAAAAAAAAAAAAATAGAAATCAAAATAAAATTCCGTATGTGCATTTGTATAAATCTCAAGAGAATCAAAAAATAGATTCTATGTTTGTGCTTTTACACAATATTCTAGATTCTAGAACTTGTTTGTATAGTACAAACTTAAGTGAAAAATATATATCTAAGATCTTGTAAAAATAAATTGTGTTTAAATCGGGAACTTAATAGTTTTTAGTCAGTCAACGTTATTACTGCTTTTCTGAAATTTGCGCCTCTTTCTTACCTCCATCCCTCTACGATAGTTATTTTCATCCAAACCTAAAGACTTCACCATAGCTCGACTTCGCCATATCTTAACCGTATAGTCATCACTGGTTGTAACTAACATTTCAGGATCGCGTGGATTAAAAGCTACGGAATTGACTACATCGGTGTGAGGAAATTTTGCTAAGCAGATCCCGTAATGCCTATCCCACAAGTAACCGTGCTTGTCTTCCGCACCACTACAAGAAAAATATTTTTGTGGAGCAATAAGAAGATACATTGAAACAAATTTAATATTTGCAAAGTATAGGAGAGATATTTTTTGTCAAACACGAAATACACATCGGAATCGGATTATTACCTCGCTACGTATTCGTTACATACGTCCAAAAATATAAAGAAACATTCGTTATTAGGCGTGTACGCTTTGTGTGCTCGTAACATTGTGCCAACTTGCTTTAGCGTTACCAAATCGATCACATGTATGTCGATTTCTTGAGCTATTGGCGGCGGTTGCAAAGGATTCGTAATAACGTAACCCTTTGGCCACGGCCTCGTGTTTACGTAAAGATATCTGAAATCACGCCGTATTTATAAATTCGGCGTTTCGAGTGTACATCCGCATATATCGCACGTTTAACTGACCTATGATCGGGAGAAAGTCCCATTCCGATGATATGACCGTGAAGATCGATCAGGTGATCTATTTTATCGAATTTGTCCGCCACAGCTTCGTAATTTAACCAATCTTCCGCCGACGGCGTATTCTGTCTCTCTCGCTCTCTCTCCCGCTGAGCTATCCTCTCGCGTAATGACGGTCCCGGATCTAATCTTCTTGGGAAACTGACCAATTTAATTCTCTTGAAACCAACTTTATGCGGAGTGTACGTTTTTGAGCCGGTAGTGAAGATAAGAAACTTTTCTGGATTATTAGCCAGCTCATCTGTACCACATTCTTCGATTATCGAGGAGTCTGTGAATCCAATTTTTTATTATATAATAATTTATGTAATGGTCTTAACTATCAGCTCGCAGAGCTTTTCTACCTTCAGACTCGCTCTCCTCTTCCCATTGTAGATTCTCAATTTCGCTGTCACTCTCGTATATATTCTTCTGCATCTCGACCTGTCTATACTCCTGATTGTACTGTATAGGACTAGCATATTCAAAACCATCACCAAGTTTTCTCCAATTTGCAAATCCTCCCTCTAATTTACTGTATCTGTTGTGTATATATATGTGTATATGTAATACATGATATATTAGTGTCATTAATCACACTGATATAACTAGCGTGTGAAAGTTGTAGAAAGAGAGAGAGAGAGAAAAAAGAAATTTATACTGTAATCTTGATGATGCATGATGTAGTACTTCTGGTTCTTCTTGCTCTTGCGAGTTGTCGGGCTCGCTCGACGTTGACATCAAATCCTTATGACTCGGTGGATTTCCTCTTTCTTCTTTTGTGTTCGATGAGGACGGCTGATTTTGTTCTTCTGTAGATTCAGCTGGTGCAGGTGCCAGACAATTTGCAACCATAATTGCTCTAATCGAGGAAGCATTTCCATTATAGAATCTGAAAACATTTTTATATGTATCTTACATTTGTGGTAACAAAACTCGATATTTACGTATGTGTGTAACATAGAAAACTGAGAATTAATTTAAATTGCACACTGAATTGTTGGTTTTTACCTAAAGAGTTGGGTCATAATAGGCACATGTTCGCTAGCTGATTCCTGATTTGCCTTATTGAGCCAAACTACACTAGTACTGACTAAGTGTGCCAACCAATGTAGATTTCCACTCAAAAGGTAACGTTCACTGTACCACGTACCAAATATGTCGTAAGGCTTATTCACTACTCTACATTGTAGGTCAAAACCAGCTACAGTTAAACAAAAAGCATGGATGTAATGGATTTGTTGTTTGACTAAAAACTAAAATCTTTTTTTAAATATAAAAAAAACCCATTTGTTATTATAAATCATTCTAAGCAATATATGTTGTCTGTTTAAAATTTATTACTTCATAAAATTTTCTAGTTTATAAATTTTTCTTTATCTGTATAATACAAATATATGTATATGTATATAAATGTATCTCCTTTCATATTATATATACACATATTTATACATACACAAAAATGCAAAACAAGTTTGATCTCTTATTTACACTTACGTGCTACCCTAAATACTGCTATTTCTCCCGAAGTGCTATGTGGTGTGCCAAAGTGGACACCAGACACAAGAAGTAAGGTATCTGTACAATTAAATTGAGAAAATTGTGTATACTTCCAGCTAAACGTCTTCATATCATGCAAGTATTTTATAGTAACAGGATATTGACTTTGCCATACCTGAAAATGGTTTGCGTGCATGTGATATATCTAACAACTTGAGAAATATTGTTACTTCCAAGAAAAGAACTTACAAGAATATATCCGTCCTTTGAACAAGTTGCAAACATTTTGCCATTATGAGAGAAGCTCACGTGTAATACCTGATGCGAGTGCTCCTTGAGAACTTCGGTTTCTATCAATGGAGTATGATACGCCAAACGTTTAAATTCCCCCAACCAGGAAGTTTTTCCTACATAACAGACAGTAGTGAAATATTAATTCAAAAATCTATGTACATTCCTCTGTGTAAACATTGAAAGATTTCTTATCCTTATTATCTCGTAATTATTCTCTTTTTTTATTTCTGTTTTTTCTTATTCTTCTGTGTTTAAATAGTTGTTTTCAATTTAACTGTAATTCAACATGTTTTTGCCAACTACAATAGCGCAAGTCCTAAAAGCGCCGAGTTCAGCTGAATGTTGTAATGTCACACACACTCACACGCAAGTTGTGTAAGTACACAAGTAATGCAGCAGTGTTATTTTCAATCGCATATAAAAATACAGTGGCGTCAAAGCGACTCGAATAACATGACGAAACATACCTGGCATTATGCCTACGTCCGGATCTATCTTGTACGTTCGATAAAATAAATATTTCCACAGGAACTCGTCACGCGACACCCTGTGCCACGAACTGCACACCTCGCCCGCAGTAAGCAACTCCTTCGGCGTCAGGTATTGGAAGATGCTCAGAAGTACAGAATCTGGCATGTAATACCAGTTGGTGTCAACGTCGCTCAGTTGCGACAGGCACTCGCTGATGGTGTCCGACTCGGTGGTGTCTTCGTCGGTCGTTTGATGGGCCGACGCATCATCTTGAACGTCCATCGTCGAAACGCGATGGTTTATTTACCAGAACAGCTGATATCTGTCAGCGACTACACGGTGCATATCCCGAGAATACACGAATTCGACCGACGTCCCGAGTCTCGACCAGCCGTCCGTCGTCGCGCGCGCAACTTTGAGCGTCTCTCGCGTAGACCATCAATTAAAAATTGAATATACGCAGAGAGAAGACCTGAGATCAGTTACGGCCGCTGATATCGATTCTCCTGTTCGCCAGCGATATGTCCACGGTGGTGCACATTAGAACTACGCAGCCATGTCCGCGAGCGACATGTCGATGCGTTATGTCCACAGCGTGCGGTTCTATTCTGTGCTATGTGCACGAGTCCAAATGGTCACCTTCTTCAGGCTAGAGTCCCTGGAAATAAGAGTCTGGCCAATGTTGTCAAACTTTTCATTGGTTCTGAAACAAAATGGCGGAACCAATGGATAACGTTATAGCCACACATTAAATTTGATTTAAATNACAGTATGCCTGTTCATGGTGGTA